AGTTAAGCTCGTGAATTAAGTTAGATAAATAAAAAATTAATTAATAATATATTTGTAAAAATATATAAATAAATTTGTTTTTTTTTATTATGTATAAGTCCTCACAGAATCCCCATAAGATAAAGGAAATTTCTAACAAAATTTTAGAAAAAGAAAAATGCCTCCATTTTCACTTATTATAAATAATATTTTTTGCCTTGAAAAAAATTTCCATCCCTAATGCCAGCTTTTTAACATGGATGATAGTGACCTGACCTCGAAATTAGACCTGATAAAAATTCACCCGATCCTAACTCAACCGGTAAAAATGAGTGAGGGTCTACATATCCTAATCTGTAACCCGTAGATAACTTGTATTATCAACCCGTATGGATCATGAGTCGGATTAAGGTTAACCCGTGAATTGATGAGTTGACCCATTTATTTTATTATTTATTATTTTTAATTATTTTTTTTATTGGTAACTCCTTCCATTAATTCATACTCCCTAATTTATAGAGAAAGAAGAAGAAATTATGATAAATTTGATCTAATTACCCAAGTATCATTTTTTTTTTGGTACTAACAATTATCCAAGTATCATAAATGAAATAATAATACAACTAAAAATATTAAAAGATGTGATACTAGGATATAAATATAATAACTTAGTGAAAGATGTTTTTGGAGGAGCAATTTCATCATTAAAAAAATGACTTAAACTACTTGATAATGTTTCAAAATGATTATAAAATTAAAATTTTATTTTTCAAAAAATTTAAATATTTTACATTTAATATTATTATTGTTAATCAATTTATTATTATTTATAACTTTTTGATTTTTTTCTTAATTTAAATGTTTGTGATTGAGACTATAAAAAATTTAGTGTTAATAAATCACAATACGTTAATTAGATTTAGATATATATAATTTTATTTGTATATAATGAAATTATTAAAAAATAATTATAAAGAATGAAAATAAAATCAACCCACGAGTTAATCCGTAATTTGTTAAGGTCGGGTTAAAATTAAATTTTTTCAACCCGTAACCTATTTATAATCCAATTCGTATAACTCATCACTCAAGTTGATCCAATCTCAACCCGACCCAACTCGCCCATTTTCCAGGTCTACTCGGAATGGTATCCCGGAAAATTGGACACTGGAGTTTAAACACGCTTCCATCTCCTCTAAAATTGATTATCAGTAAGTATTAACTTTTTTATTTAACTCGCATAATTTTTTATTATTTTTTCAATACTAAATTTTCATGCTTAACAGAGGGCTTAAGTATTGAATAGAGCCTTAAATTTTTACTAAATTTACAATTGAGATCCTAAAGTTCTATTACACTCAAATAAGGTCTTAAAATCATAAAAATTCTTAAATGAGATCTGGGAAATGTTAAACCTGTAAAATTAGTCATCAACGTTATTAACTCTAATTGGTTAATATTCAACATGGTCTATAACTTCTTTATTTTTTCTTTTAATGACTCTAAAATTTTCAGTAACCTCTAAACAATCCTTCAACTTATTTGTTCTATAGATGTGAAAATTTTGTAGGGCCTACAACTAAAAATTAATTTTTAATTTTAATTTTATGTGACAGTTATATGGGCTATTATAAAAAATTACATTATTATTTTTTGAACTATAACAAACAAAATATATCAATTAATAAAGTAATAAAAATAACAAAAGAAAGAGAAAAGGAGGATGAAGAAAGAAGAGGGGTATTATCAGGTTCACAAATTCATCATATCTTTTTTAGGTTATTTAATTAATAAATCAATAATTAAAATTTAACTTAATGATTAATTAATGTTTAATGAAATCATCTAATAGTATTTTTGAGTTGAAGGGAATGGAGGAGAAGGGAGAAGAGGGAAGAAAATTCCTCTATTTGGTTACCAAAAGAATTGGATGGGAAAGAAAGCAAAGGAAGCTCTTTGTTTTATTTATTTATTTTTAATTCATTTACTTATCCAAATTGGTGGGTGGTAAGGGAAGGGAAACGTGGGAAAATGGAGAGATACAAAATCCTTCAATTCCATTCCCCTCACCTCCTCTTTGTTTCCCTCAAATCAAATATATTGTGATAGCTAATTAGTAATTTATTTTAGTTAATTAAGATTAATTTTTAGTTGTAGGTCCTAAAAATAAGTTTAAGAAGCATTTTGAAGTTATTAGAAGACAAAATAGAAAGGCAAGGGACCATTTTGAATTTTAACCCATTAGAGTTAACTGTATTAATGAGGACCTATTGGCTTCGGTCCAATTGGATCCACTTTGAGAATTTCAATGACTTAAGGACCTTACCTGAGCACAATAGAACTTTGAAACTGTAATTACGGATTTGGTGAAAGTTTGGGATCTTGGTCAATGCTTAAGCCATTAACACTATGGGGGTATTTGGAAACCTTAAGGTGTGTTTGGTTATAGATCACTTTCTTTCGAAAGTTTTTATTGTGAACACTACAAACAAAGTGCCCTATACCAACGGAAGTTTATACCAATGGACAAGAATCTGTCTGTATAAAACCATGTATACCAACAGAAAATTAGAGCAGTCAGTATATATTGGTCTATACCAACAGAAAAATATATCCATTAATATAGAATAGGTTTATACAAACGGTTAATTGATTATCCGTTTGTATAGATATACTCTATACAAACGGATTACTGTATCTTGTCGGTATAATCCACTGTATTTGAAACGCTTTTTAATTTCAGCTGATCGCACTGCAACAATCATTTCACTTCCCTCCCTGTATTCCCAAATCTCCCTCTCGAAATCCCTAGCTTCCCTCTCCCAAATCTCCACAATTTGTATTTGAGTTTGATAAAACTCAAAGACCCATTCAGCCGGCAGTAGAAATTTTCACTTCCCTCCACAAATTCCCAAATGTCCCTCTCGAAATCCCTAGCTTCCCTCTCCCAAATCTCCACAATTTGTATTTGATTTTGATAAAACTCAAAGACCCATTCAGCCGACAGTAGAAATTTTCACTTCCCTCCCCAAATTCCCAATTTTTTCTCCCTTAATCCCGAGCTTCCCTCCCCAGGTAGACCTAGGTGTTTCGCCCCTCTCCCAAATCTACAAAATCTGTAATGCTCTGTTTGGTAACTTGAATTTGACAGTGTGTATTTGAATTCGGAGGGCTCAAATTCAATTTTACCGTTTGTTTTTACCTAAATAAAATGTAATTGAATTTGAAGAAAATACATGTATTTTAACCGAGTAATTATTATGACTAAATTCCGTGCATTTCAATTGCACCCTAAAACCCTCGAATTTCAATTTTGAATTGAATTTGGTCTGCACTCTCCTCACCAACGGCGATGAGCCTTCACCGTCCGCCCTGACTCTGCCGCTACTCCCGCTGCTCCCGCTGCTCCCGCTGCTACCAGACTTTTCATCATCTCTCTCGATATATCAGCGCCTCAGGTAATTCCTCTTCCTTCCTCAAATTTTTATTGATTTGCATATGACTACCTCCTAGATCAGCTCTATTTAATTCTGTATTTGGGTCAGAATCCCTTGATTTCGTTTCTTACCAAAGAATCTCGTCCGCCTTGACTACT